GGATAAACGAGTTTAAACCTACCTGAACTCCATTCATTGCGACTTACGGAAGATCTGAGAAACCATGACCAAACAATCACAGACTTGTTAGACTATTCGTCGGCATTCCTTTCTCCGAAGTCTACATGCCTTTCTCCTTGAGTGAATGTAACCAGCTCAACAAACCTTATCCCCACATGCGCCCTCCTCCTTCAGCGTCATACCCGCTGCTTCTTTCCAGTGCTCGCAAGTAAAGCAAGCGCAGGCGGAGGGGCAGAGAAAAAAATACTTGGACAACCGTGGGAAAGTCAGCAATCTCGTCCATAAAGTAACAGCTAAATCCAGAAAAGGCTAGGTTCTAATATAACCTATTATAGACATTACGTATTTGAATAAAGACAAAAATAAATTTCCCAAATTATGTGATTCGAATGTATGAAAGACGCTGACTGTGATATTATCCCCAAAGCTATCTTGAGTGAATACATTTTTTTTTTTTTTTTACTTTTTAATAATTTGAAGGAAGGGTTTAAAAAAAATTTTTTTTTTTTTTTTTGGTTTTAAAGTAACAGCTAAATCCAGAAAAGGCTAGGTTCTAATATAACCTATTATAGACATTACGTATTTGAATAAAGACAAAAATAAATTTCCCAAATTATGTGATTCGAATGTATGAAAGACGCTGACTGTGATATTATCCCCAAAGCTATCTTGAGTGAATACATTTTTTTTTTTTTTTTACATTTTAATAATTTGAAGGTAGAGTCTAAACACAGATTTTCTTTTTTTTTTTGGATCTGAAATATTAACTAACTTAAAAAAATTTAAAAAATGTGGGATCTCAAAACCGATCATCCATGCAATGAAACATGTTTCCAGCATTTTGGGCCACATAGATGCCATATCTGAGTTTAATCTCCCTGACACAAGTAGGTTGATTACAAGTAGGTCACCATCTTAGTGCTTCTGAGATGAGTCGAGTTGAGCATAGGACAAAGGAAAAGAAAAGCAGCTGAAAGCAAAGGAGGAGTGGAAGACTGAAAACAACAATGCATGCAGATAAATGTCATTAGCAAAACAAATCTGAACATAATGCAAGAGAAAGAAAAAAACAAGGCACAAACACTGTTCACTACTGACACTGTAAACTGCCAATATCATAAAGCTTTATGATAAACCATTTTGCTGTAGACATTTAGCCTCCTCCTGTTTGTCTTGGTGTGGACTTCATATGTGACCATATGAAGCCTCTAACAGATGGCATTTTGTAGCTACATATTGAAAGAAGATTATCTCTCCTGAGCTGTTCAGAGTAACAATCAGCATAGCTGAAGCATGCAGTTCCATTTAAAACTGATTGGCTGATGTATAATAAAAAACATTCCAGCAAGGGTGTACTTGTGTTTATTGCTAAGCAATATAAATCGGAATTAAATGCTCTCTCAGATTGTGCTGCAGGTCTGACTAGCTTACACTGTTATGCCATGTCCCTCTGAAACAGCAACAACCCGCTGATCTGAGAAATTTACCGTTTTTTTTTTTATTAGATGTGTCACAAGGTTCATTCTTAGAGATCTCTTTTGCTTTCCTAACCACTTATAATCAGTATCAATGAGAAAATTGTCTCACACTAACCCCACTATACTTCAGTTATGTGAAAAAAAGGGCAGAAGAAAGAGTTTTGGCAGGCACAAAAATCAAGAACACTTACCATATCTTTGATATTCCTTTCCAATGGGAAAAAAATGCATTACATGTAAATCCAGAGTTGATGAATGAAACAGGTGTCTGTAGCCTGTGCTGCTCAGCTGCTAGTCCTGTTTCACTATGTCATGACCTGTGTTTTGTTTCTGTTTGTGGAAAGTTGTGATATGACGCATCATTGTCGAAGTCCTTTTTCCTCGGCCCGGGTTTGTTACATGGCCTGAATTTGATGCTGTTTTCCCCAGGTGGCCTCAGGACCTAGTTTTATAAAAATATCACCCAATCATAGAGGCAGCAAGGATGAGAGAATGAGAGAGAGATTCGAGAAAATTAGTTAGAAGTGGAATGCAATACAGTTCCCGCATTTGTATAGAAATGATTAACTGTTGCATGTGTGTTGATGATAAAAGAATCTTGTTTGAAGCAATTGGCAGATGATGAAAAAAAAAGTCATACACATATAAAGGATAAAGCCAGAGTGATTCAGATTAATTCAGGAAGACAATGAAAATGGAAATAAGATTTAAATAGACCGACACTTAAGCACACATTAAAACATACATTTGTTCTTTTACATTTTCAACAATGAATTGTTGCTTATTGTATTTGCAAGCATATGTCAATGGCTGTAAGAGTTTCTCTGACCTCATTATGGATATAAATAAACCCTGGTCTTGGACTGAAGTTTCAGCAGGAATTCTTTTATAAACCATCCCAGTCGAACACTAGGCTTTATCTCGGTATAGAAAACCAGCCCACACAATGAAATCTCAAAATATTTATTGAGAAAATTATTTGCAATAGATATGCTATGGGGGTGTTTGTTAATGAATACATTGAGATATCGCTTAAAATTAACCATGGAATCTCTCATTTCCATACTCTCAGCTCCATGGATCGAATATATTGGACTTTAGCATACAGTGATCTGAGGGGTGATGGCACTACACAGACACAGATGGTGATCTATTTATAACTCGTAATTTAGAACTTAAAGTTTCCCACGTGTTTTGGCCTGCTACACTTTGTTCATAATTAATCACACACATAACACTGAAAACAATAAAGACTCCTACTTAAACCTAAATGTAGTCTTTTATTTATGAAATACTTACTTGTAGAATGATATCTTGATAAAGTTTTGGAAAACCAAGACAAAACATCAGAAATGAGACCAGGAATTTATTTTATTTGTTGCTCAGCCAAAACTTAAATGAGATTTTAGTGTGAGCTAAACATGGGGAAAATTTGTATATTTTATTCATACAACTGAGATACAGTTTTAGAATAGTAACATGTTGTATGTGCTTCCAAAGGGACTTCATTGTGTTGTAAAAGCTCTTTGACTAAGAAAAATACATTGGAAATCTCCATTTATATTGTAAAGTTCACCTGAGCTTGCTTTTGACCCCTGTCAATTTTAAGGCCCTAGTCAGAGGCATGTTCACAGATGAAGGCTTGATGAAACAGTTTTTTCATCTCAGGTTGACATACATGGCTCTTGGAAAGTTACTGGCAGGTACTGTGGGATTCCATTTGTGAATTATATTATTTACTGGTTCAAGTCACCTCATGTAATAACAACTGGGATGATGATTAAACAGGCTGTAATAATGATAACCGCACCATCAGCCATCACTCAATGAGTGTACTTATTTACATAGTTACCACAGGCTTTGGCTTATGGTTGTCTTTATTGCCATATAATTCTTGTATAGCCTAAGTATAGCTGCAGGCATGGGCAACTGAAGGCTCTTTGGGCTCAGGCCCTTATACAGTATGAATAGTGTTTTACAGCTCAGAAGAATGTGTTTTGTTTTTAGGTTGTGAGTTCAAATCTTCCATGATTGATTTTGTTTTCAACTTTATTTTGTGATTTCAGTGATTAAAGGAAAGACATGGTCCTGTTGTCAGTTTAAATGTTCCAATATATAAAGAATTGATCAAGAGGGTTTGATAAAGAGAATATTTCCACATAGTGTAACGATTTTAGGAGATATTAAGAAAATTCTTACAAAGAAAAAAAAAACTTCTTTAAAAAAACTTCAATATAAAACTAAAAGTAAACATTTTGGACAGATGTAACATTAATTTAGCCATAAAGCAATGTCAGCCATCTTCAAAGAAAGATTATGAACATTCATACAAGTAACATAATTCAGGATCATTATATATTGGGTCTCAAGATTCTGCCAGTATGTGGATATGGGGTTTTAACATTAAAATGAAGTTATTTAAGCTATTATATCAAATATTGTGATATTTACCATGATTATATCTCCTCATTAAATAAGTAAAATTTTGAATTTTTTATTAGTGCCAAAAAGTGGTGGAAATTACATAAAAATGGGAACATTTGCAATTTGTGAAAATAGATAATTCTCATACAATAAATATTGAAATAGTTTATGATTATTATATTTTATGATGTCTATTCTCATTGTCTAGAATATTTCATATTTATGATTGATTTTCATATTTTAAGATTGAAAGTCTGGCGATGGGACAGAATTAAACAATAAATTCTATACTTATATGGATAGTTCAGCCCAAAATGAAAATTCTGTCCTTATTTACTCACTCTGAAGTTGTTCCAAACCTGTGTCCATGGCTACAATCAACTGTTTGGTTACCAACATTTTCATACTCAGCAGAAGAAAGAAGCTCATGCAGGTTTGGAACAACTTGAGGGTGAGTAAATGATAACAGAATTTTCATTTCTGTCACTTTAAAAGGAAAAAAATATATGATGGAGACCTGGTAAAACTTTTCTACAACCATTTTAATATGACCAAAAACTGAAGAAACACCGCATAAAATAGTATCACATCTGTGACCCTGGACCACAAAACCAGTCATAAGGGTCAATTTTTTACAATTGAGATTTATACATCATCTGAAAGCTGAATAAATAAGCTTTCCGTTGATGTATGGTTTGTTAGGATAGGGCAATATTTGAGAGAGAACTATTAGAAAATCTGGAATCTGAGGGTGCAAAAAAATTATATATTTTTTTTTTTAGAAAATCGCCTTTAAAGTTGTCCAAATGAAGTCCTTAGCAATGCATATTACTAATGATAATACATGTTTTATATATTTACGGTAGGACAAAATATCTTCATGGAACTGTACTTAATATCCTAATGGTTTTTGGCATAAAAGAAAAATCGATAATTTTGACCCATCCAATGTATTTTTGATTATTGCTACAAATATACCCCAGCGACTGGTTTTGTGGTCCAGGGTCACGTATGGTACGATACGGTATGCATGCGATATGGTTATGCACATTTCTTATTCGACAGCTTCCTCTAGTGGAACGGTTAGAAACATCCTTCGACACGACGACATCAGCAGCACCTGGCAGCAGTGTCTGATACAACACAGTAGCTTCGCGACTCTCGCTCCTGCTGCCCTGGACTACAGGCGCCTCTCTCCAAGGTTGGACACCTGAAAAACACACCCTCTCTGCGAGTTCTGTGTACACTATCGCTTCTTAAGGACTTGCCGGTAGGGCTAAGCGGTCGGATGGTTTATTGGGCATTGCGAATGCATAATGTGGGGTATTTGAGTCTTATTCCCAGTAAGGACATAATACAGAACATGGCGCTGAGGAAACTGATATGGGCTGTTGTGGAAACAACATTTAGATATGTTCTTTTATTATCCAGTGCCATATTTCATGCATTCAGTCATTTCATTTATGCATCAGGCCACACACGCTTTTCATGATGTGGCATCTGTTCATAATATTCATGCATGACATAATTGCATGTCATGTTTGTTCAGTATGAGGTAAATATCGGAATGATTGTGGATTATTATTGAAATGCATCATATAAGAAAAAAAAATACTTGAATATTTCTAAAATAAAATATGTTTTTATTTAGGATGTATGTCAAGTTCTGCCGCATACGGCACGTGCTGCTTTATTGTTACCCAGACAACGCTGGGAAAAAACAGAGATAAGCGTTCAAGGATACTGTGACATTAGCAGATTTATCGCCCGAATTAAACTAATTTAGACTAATAGTAGCCTATGGATTATTTAAAATATTTTGTCATTTATATTTTGTACATTATTTTAGAGGTCATTGCTGTAGCCTACTAAAAAATATGGCTTTTCTAAACTCTCTACACTAGATTCCTTTCAATGACACATTTATATGACTATCATTATTTTGAACTACATCCATACAGAGATTTATTATCTACTGTAGTGATGAGGTATCTCATGTGAGTACATGTATGTTTACTTTGATCCTGTCAATGAAACTGCTAGTTGGTGTATGGCCATAATACCATAATAACAAAAGTATTTCTTTCATCAAAATCGATTTGATGTGTTGTAAACAAACTGAATTAAGAAGAACTGAAAATGATGAACTACATTAAGCTATTATATGGTTGTTGCTGTACATCTGAGCGCAATTAAACTATAAATAACTCATTTGTATCATGAATGATTTAGTCTTCTTTTTCTTGTGGTAGGCTGACTGTAACCCAATGAGAGCCCAGTGATGGGTAAGGAGAAGCTCCATATCAACATCGTGGTCATTGGCCATGTGGATTCAGGGAAGTCCACCACCACAGGCCACCTCATTTACAAGTGTGGCGGCATCGACAAGAGGACCATTGAAAAGTTTGAGAAGGAAGCTGCAGAGGTATAGCAGTCCAAATATGTAAGACCAAAGAGATTTAGCTACAATTTGTTGCAGTGTTATTATTAATGCATACAATTATTCAAAGAGGCCCACTGTTTGAAAGATGACCTACTTAAGCAATATCAAACAAGCACAAGTGCTGTGCTACTCAATATCAGCACAAATCGCAGATTGTGAGTGTCGTTTTACTTTATAAGTGATTCTATAAAGTAAGTTAACAACTTATTTAGAACTCATTTTCTGAGAATGTACTCACCTCAGGCCATTCTCATTCTGATGGTACCCATTCACTGCAGAGGATCCATGGGTGAGCAAGTGATGTAATGCTAAATTTCTGAAGAAACAAACTCTATATATTAGATGGCCTGAGGGTGAGTATATTTTTAATTTTGGATAAACTATTCCTTTAGAGGGATAGTTCACCCAAAGATTTATATTCTGTCATCATTTAATCACCCCCTGGATAACGTTATTTCTTCTGTGGAACAAAAAAAGAAATATTTTAAAGAACATTTCAACTGTTTCAAAACAACATTGGACCCAATTGAGAAATAGCTTCTTTCTTAATAAATTTTGGCAAACTCTATATATTAGATGGCCTGAGGGTGAGTATATTTTTAATTTTGGATAAACTATTCCTTTAGAGGGATAGTTCACCCAAAGATTTATATTCTGTCATCATTTAATCACCCCCTGGATAACGTTATTTCTTCTGTGGAACAAAAAAATAAATATTTTAAAGAACATTTCAACTGTTTCAAAACAACATTGGACCCAATTGAGAAATAGCTTCTTTCTTAATAAATTTTGTCTGGTTAGTGTTATATTTTATATATACTACCGGTCAGAAGTTTGGGATCAGTAAGACTTGTAATGTTTTATAAAGAAGTCTCTTATTCTCATCAAGACTGCACTTATTTGATCAAACATGCAAAAAAACAAATAAAAAAAACAGTAATCTTGTTAAAAAATGTTATTACAATATAAAATAATGGTTTCTATTTTAATATCCTTTAAAGTATAATGTATTTCTATGATGCAAAGCTGAATTTCCATCAGCCATTACTCCAGTCTAAAGTGTCACATGATCCTTCAGAAATCATTCTAATATGCTGATTTATTATTAGAATTATCAATGTTGGCAACAGTTGTGCTGCCAAATTTTTTTTTCGGAAACAGCAATACTTTTTTCAGGATTCTTTGATGAATGAAAAGTTAAAAAGAACAGCATTTATTCAAAATATAAATCTTTTCTAACAATATAAATCTTTGCTATCACTTCTTAACAATTTAACACATCCTTGCTGAATAAAAGTTTTAATTTCTTTCAAAAAAATAAAATAAAAATGTACTGACCCCAAACTTTTGAACTGTAGTGTATATTGTTAGAAAAGGTTTCTATTTTAAGTAAATGCTCTTCTTTTTAACTTTTTATTCATCAAAGAATCCTTAAAAAAAGGACAGGTTCCAAAAAAATATTAAGCAGCACAACCGTTTCCAGAACTGATAATAAATCAGTATATTAGAATGATTTCTGAAGGATCATGTGACACTGAAGACTGGAGTAATGATGCTGAAAATTCAGCTTTGCATCACTGGATTAAATTAGATTTGAATGTATATTAAAATAGAAAAAAGTTATTTTACATCACAATAATATTTCACAGGCAATGAATATTTATTTTTGATCAAATAAATGCAGCCTTGATGAGCATAAGAAACTCCTGTAAAAAACATTAAAAATGGTTCTGATCCCAAAGTTTTGACCGGTAGTAGTGTATATGTTGTGTATGTATTTTTTATTCACCTAGTAGTATCACACTTTTAATAGAACTATAACTGTGCTGTAACACTAAATATTAATATTGATGGAACGCAAATTGGTCAATCAAATTGGAGGACTGAAAATAATTGTTGCATAATGTAGTATCTTATGTGACATAATCCATTTGTTTAAGAAATTAAGTTGCAGATTTTCTCTAAACAGATATATTTTCTTTACTTTTCATAGATGGGAAAAGGCTCTTTTAAGTACGCTTGGGTCCTTGACAAGTTAAAAGCTGAGAGAGAGCGAGGCATCACCATCGATATCTCTCTGTGGAAGTTTGAGACCAGCAAATACTATGTCACCATCATTGATGCTCCAGGACACAGAGACTTTATCAAGAACATGATCACTGGCACTTCACAGGTTTGTATGTAATAACATAACAAGGCCAATCAGAAAGTTGCCCTTTATTCATTGAAGTATTTTCATAATCTTAAACATTTCATTTCTTTTGATACAGGCGGACTGTGCTGTGTTGATTGTGGCAGCTGGCGTTGGAGAATTTGAGGCTGGTATCTCGAAGAATGGCCAAACACGAGAGCATGCTTTGCTGGCATACACCCTGGGCGTCAAACAGCTGATTGTGGGTGTCAACAAGATGGACTCTACTGAACCTAATTACAGCCAGAAGCGCTATGAGGAGATTGTGAAGGAAGTCAGCACTTATATCAAGAAAATCGGCTACAACCCCGATACAGTGGCATTTGTTCCAATCTCTGGATGGAATGGAGATAACATGCTGGAGGCCAGCCCAAACGTTAGTGTCATATTAACTACAGTTTTGTATATTTCAGATTATTAATAGACTCAATAATTCGAGATATTTAAAGAGCATAATTTTGCTTTTTACAAACCAAACTCTTATTAATTAGATTTATGTTATTTGTAGAGATTAATTATTTCCATTACTGTTTGCTTTGCATTCAGTACTGTGTATATATATATAAATGTAAATGTAATTAATGTAATGTATTCCAGTGATACAAAGCTAAATTTTCAGCAGCCACTACTGCAGTCTTTAATTTCACGTGATCCTTCAGAAAACATTCTACTATGCTGATTTGCTGCTCAAGAAACTTTTCTTATTATTATCACTGTTGAAATCAGTTGTGCTGTTTCATATTTTAATGGAAACTTTGATACTTTTTTTTCAGGATTTTCTTTATTACAAATTCCTTTACTGTCACATTAATAAATTTTTTCTCCTTTGTAATTCCTAAGAGGTTCTAAACACCCCAAACCTTCCAAACTGTTACATGTATTGGCTATAATAATATGCTTTCTCTGTAGATGACCTGGTTCAAAGGCTGGAAGATCACTCGTAAGGATGGGAGTGTCTCTGGGACGACTCTGTTGGAGGCTCTGGATGCCATTCAGCCTCCAACCCGCCCCACTGACAAACCCCTTCGCCTCCCACTGCAGGACGTCTACAAGATTGGAGGTATGAGGACACCCAAACAGAAAGGGTCTCAATAAGAAACCCACCTGTTTAAAATGAACTTCAAGATTATGTGTACAGTATAACTAATAATTTTCTTGTAAAGGTGTGTGATCTACAAATGACTTACAGGTGTTTATGGTTTTTCTAAGAGATAAAATAACTGAGATTGCCAACCGTAAGGTTATGAAGCTACAAGAATACTTACCATGTGAAAAGAAAACAAAAATAGCTACTTTATTCAATGATTTCTTCTCTTCCGGGTCATTCCCTGGTTGGTTTATATACGAGACCACCGTGGTGTTGTTTGAGCGGACTATCACATGATGACCTCTGAGGTCTGGGAGGAAGTGTTTCAGAGCCCGAAACACTGCCAGCATCTCCAGGCAATTTAAGTGCTGATGGCCTTCCCACAGACCCTGGGCTGAGAGACCACTGAGAGAGGGATGCGTCCGTCGTAAATGTTATACGACGACGACACAGAGCACCTAACACAGGTCCCTGAAACAGGAACCAAAGTTCCCTAACCTGAATATGCGCTGCACCTGCTGCCTACTTATACTCACGCTGTGATCAGCAGCAGCTGGATGCAATAATCGCATGCCAATGTGCATTGGCTCGTTTAGTTTACACTCGAAGTAGATTGGTCCCTCTAAGCGAGATCCCAATTTCATCGGTCCTCCGACGTGACGTCTCCGTTCCCTCCTTCAGGGAACGAGGGTTACATACGTAACCGAGACGTTTCTTCCACATGACTAAGGGTTGCAAAATGGCTTGCCCATCGGGGAAAACCCCTTGGTCCTGAGCCACCACTTCAGGGGTCTCGAGTACAGCAGGCCAAAAGGTATCACATTGGAGGCAGAAGCGAGGACCGAATCGATACGATATCAATATTGATACTGATATGCCTTTGCGTCACAATCTGTTTCAACGTCAGCATCTTGAATCTGAACGTCTTGACAGAGCGGTTGAGTTGATCTATGATAGGACGCAACCCCCCATCCTTCTTGGGAACGAAGAAGTATCGGCTGTAAAAGCTCCCTCTCGAGCGGAGGGATGCACGCTATAGCCTCCTTTTCTCAAGAGGGTAGCCACTTCTTGTTCCATCAACAGAGCCTGCTTGGGGCGTACCACAGTAAGTGTGACCCCGTTGAATCGAGGCAGATGAGAACCGAACTGGATTCTGTAGCCTCTTTCCACTGTCTGCAGGACCCAATAAAACATGTATGGCAGGCATCTCCAAGCTGCCAAAAAGTCTACTAAGGGAACCAGCCTCTTGAGACTGGCCTCTGGTGTTGTCAGAACAACCGACTCGGTGCCATGAAGTGAATGACTGGCAGAGACAGACCGGTCTGGCTGTTCTGGTATAACCACTGGAGGATGTGAACCTCCCAGGACCGCTACGTTTCCGGGCCACTCTCTTTGCTGTCTTGCATATTGACTGATTAATTTGTGCACTGACTGACACACACACTTCACACACACTTTGACGATGTACACAACACAGAGCACTTGCTGATGAACAGAAGCTAACGCTGTTTACACGGGGTGCGCTTTTAAGCTTCCTAGTCACTACGTCACCCTACCCGTGATGTCTCTCCACTCTATTGGACTGATTTCACATGTGCTTCAGGATGCGGCCACGTAGAGGCGTTCCCAAAGCATTTCCGACACAGCGCAAGTTCCTGAGGGGGAAACATAACTGCACCTTAATGTTTAAAGTAAAATTAAATGTAAAAATATACACTTTACACATACATAAATACATTATTAAGTTGTATATAAATACATTAATATGGTAGTATATTCTTATTATTATAGTGCAATGGACTTAAAATGGAACAATCAATTTTATGCCAGGGTGTTTCTTGGTCTCTCTCTGTCCACCATCTCTGTTTTTGGCCTTAAAATATTAAAGACCCATGATTTATAATAATAACTAAGCTCTGTTTTTCTGATGATCTTAATTTCCCAGGTCGCTTTGCAGTGCGTGACATGCGTCAAACCGTAGCAGTGGGCGTCATCAAGGGGGTTGAGAAGAAGACCCCAACCTCTGGGAAGGTCACTAAATCTGCCCAAAAGGCCCAGAAGAGCAAATGAATGTTGTGCTGGGCTGCGAACACTTGGGTCAGCCACACCATCCCTCCTCTTCCCAGCTCCATAAATAAAGCTTGGTTAATTATCACAATGCATCGCAAAAGCAAAAGAAGGAAAAGTAAAACTCTCGCCTGCTTGACAATGATTACGATTGTGATAAGTATATTTGTTTAATTTTATGTTCTGTTTGAATTTTAAGTCTTCGTTGTGGTATTTGTTCTATTGTTAATTTGTTATAAGCACTTTAAGCAGATCTGCCTCTAGTGGGAATGTAGAGTAAGCTTTGTTTATATTGTAGCTTGTGTTGAAAATATAAACCCTCTTGCTAATTTTGCTTATGTAACCTTGCTTGTAATAGTAGCTAACTCTTCTAGCTTCTAGTCTAATAGGAATGATTTTATGGTGGTCTGTTATGTTAGTTTGATGTGTTGTGACAGCTTTATAATTGAAGTTCAGTGTCTTTTTCTGTGTGCATGAAGCTACAGTAGCTAGCGCACTTTACTGTCTACCCTGACAGCGCTCTGAACAAGCATGAGCCATCTTGTTTGCACTTGCACTCACGTACTTTAAAGGAACACTCCACTATATTTGAAAATAGGCTCATTTTCCAACTCCCCTAGAGTTAAACAGTTGAGTTTGACTGTTTTTGAATCCATTCAGCTGATCTCTGGGTCTGGTGGTAGCAGTTTTAGCTGTAGCTTAGCATAGATCATTGAATCTGATTAGACCGTTAGCATCTTGCTCAAAAATGACCAAAGAGTTTCGATATTTTCTTCTGTACTCTTCTGTAGTTACATCGTGTACTAAGACTGACAGAAAATGAAAAGTTGCGATTTTCTAGTCCGATATGGCTAGGAACTGTACTCTCATTCCGGCGTAATAATCAAGGAACTTTGCTGCCATACCATGGGTGCAGCAGGCACAATGATATTACGCAGCACCTAGAAAATCGCAACTTTTCATTTTCCGTCGGTCTTAGTACACGATGTAACTACAGAAGAGTCAAGTTTTAAATAGGAAAAATATAGAAACTCTTTAGTCATTTTTGAGCGAGATGCTAACGGTCTAATCAGATTCAATGTTCTATGCTAAGCTACAGCTAAAAGTGCTACCGCCAGACCCGGAGATCAGCTGAATGGATTCGAAAACGGTAAAACTCAACTGTTTAACTCTAGGGGAGTTGGAATATGAGCCTATTTTCAAAAATAGTGGAGTGTTCCTTTAACAGGGAATATGATTCTCCATTATCTAATGTATGTCGGTTCATAACCAACAATAAAATACATTTGAACTCTGATGCCTGCTTCTAAATTACTAGACAAAGAAATAACAAGAAGACAACATCTTTGATGAGTGTAGGCATGATATTTTAGATATTTGAGAGCTCTGACACCAATATTTAGTGCTGGTGCACATGCCAACAATATTAAATAGACTAAAAACAATTAACTACAAAACATTACATAATAAAAAATATAATAATTATTTGCAATTATAATAATTTATAATTAACAACAATAATAAAATATATTTTTTAAATAATTATATATATTATATATAATTATTATTTATAATGTATATTGTATAATAATGTACTGTATATTTACAAAAATAAGATTTTAAGTTGGCTGTGTAAAATGTGGTTGTGGTGTGATCAGAGCTAAAAAAATGACATGTAATAATAAAAAAAACAGCAACTGATGTAGTACATAAATTATGAGGTGCGCCTCTCAACATTTAATCTGCTTTATCAAAACTGTACAATTTTCAGCAACATCAGTTTCCTCCAACATGTCTGGCACTTTTTTTTACATAAGAAAAGTAAATGACCCTTTTAATACAATATGATAAATTCAGAAAATGCAACATATTTCTACTGTCTTATGGTCAGACACTTTTTTTCCTATTTTTGTTATGTTATGAATATCGGGTTGATGAGCCTGTTTGTAATGAGACTTTAGACATGCAGTGTTCATGCAAACCAATGCTATCTCTAATTTTGATAATTTCAGCAGTTTGATTATTTACCACATTTGATTTTTTTAAAAATGTTACAGTACATTTGTAAAAGAACAATGCATGCAATGATATATCATGTATGGTGGCCTATATGAAATCGTAATCGTTCATCCTTTCAAATAAACAAAACTAATAGAACACATATAAAAAATGATCTAAATTTGTTTTGCCCTTATAAAAATACAAAATAATCCAATTTAAAATAAGCTTTCATATCAAAGTTTCATTCCATCAGAGGTGGCTTCTAAAGGCCCATTCACACCAAGGACGATAACTATAAAGATAACGATAAAGATATAGTTCTAAAAATCTTTCTCAATATTAAAGAATAGCAGAGTCCATACCACAACTATAACGATAAAGACAAAGAAAAACGATATCATTGGAATGACTTTCAAAACGATTTTTCTCGAGCTGATAAACGATAAAAAAATTTACAGCCAATCAGAATCCATCCTGCTGTAACGAGCTCAAGAATTTAAAGCGGCAGATGTGCATGCGCTTAGAGTAAACAGACGATATCGTTCGCTGGTGTGGACGCTAATATCGTTATCTTTATAGTTATCGTTCTTGGTGTGAACTGGGCTTAAGAGTTTGTAACACATTAGATATTGCATTATTTTAGTCGAACATGTGGCATGTTCATAGTCTCATTGCTGCCCGTATTGGGTGTATGTCCACTTGCTAGGTTGTGACTAGCACCAGCAGTACTACTTGTCCTAAGCAGCTCGGAGGAGTAGGATGCATCAATGGGGGTCTGGGAGAGAAAGTTGAACCCTTGAGTATGTGTCTTATTTGAGATCTCAAGGTCTCTATCGCTGATGAAGAGATCAGCTTCTCCCCAGGCCCCTACTCCCATCTCAATTCCCCCAGCTGAAGAGTCCTGGCTGCTGCTAACACTGGTGGAGAAACTAGCCTGACTAGAATGTGTGTCCACACCAAGACCTTCCAGAGCAGGCTGCATGAGGTACTGTACAGAGAAGGACTTCCCCAGTCCTATATCCCCACTGGACTGGCCTTGAATCGGGGCAAAAGGAGAGACTGGAGCAAGAGGGTCCATCTCTGCATCCATGCTTATATGTCTCCTCCAAGAACTGTCCTCTTTAGCACTGGGTCTGGTTTTTTGTTGAAGCTTGCAGCTAATATTAGAGTTAAGCCCAAAGTCTATACCAACTCCTCTGAAGCAGGATTTGGAGTAGTCGGTGGGGTCTGACCTACATGGTCCCATGCTGCGAACGTGGCCTGTTTGTGGAGGAACAGAAAAAAGGTGAAGTTTTGAAGAGGCCGGGGATGGAAGAGGAGGAGGTGGTTGACGGACACATGGAAAGTGGCCTACAGAAGAGTGAAAACTGCTGACGCTGAGGATTTGAGAAGGACTCACTTGTGCTGATGGACACTCCAAGGAAGGGGTTGAAGGAACGTGGAAGGTTGATGGGTTAAAAGGTGAGGCAGAGGCTGGATTGAGCCCAGGAGATGATGCTGTGGAGTTGTTCTGGTTGAGGTTGAGTTCTTTGGGGGCTAATATTAATTGGAGGGCTCTGGGGTGATTACCACAGATGGAATGGCTGACCTGGGAGGAGCAAGAGATATCCTTACTGAGGATGGTACTCTGATAGTCACAGGTATCCTCCAACCCAAAAGGAGGGAGAGAGGAGAGAGTGAGGGCAGAAGAAGAACCCTTCTGCAGAACCTGCCGGTAGATGTCCAGCAAAGAGTCCAGCTTAGCTTTAATAGACTGTACCTATAGAGACGGTAAACAGAACACAGATTGTCAGAAAACATGGATTATGCTTAATACAGTGGTTTTTCAATAAAGCAGTTAAAGGGGAAAGAAAGATTGTGTGTTTTTAGCATTTTAATTTAGATTAGAGTTTGATAGGCCCCCTGGTTAAGAACCACTGGTTTAACTGGTTTAGTATTATGTTTAATATGATAATCGATAAACAGTAAAACATGAGACAATGACATGAGAATTTTTTTTTAATCAAGGTAAATATCATTTCTGAACAGGATATTATATTATGTGTAATTTCCATTCAAACATGAAAATATTATATATTTGTGTGTATTTAGGATATGTAAAAGACTAGCTATGAAAATAGCCTTATCAAAGAGTTGGCCATTTCTATTCCAATAACGTTAAACAAATCCATCACAATCAATTTCATCCCATAATGTTATTAAACACAATTCATCTTTAGAAACAGAAATTAGTGTAGGATCTCTGTCTTCAAACGGACCCACTCACACTATTGAGTCACACATGAAACAATCACATTCCATTGAGACAAACTGAAGAGCACCCTATGATCTCCATCTGCGGTCGTAAAACTCATGCAGGGTCAGTGAAGTGTCTCAGCAGTTCCTGTCCCATCTAGCTTATGGTCTCAAGAGACTCAAATAAAAACAGTGCTTAAACCCCTCGAGGACCAGATGTGCAGTGTAACTTTGACCGACTTCAGCATAAATAACTATCTAAGAGACAACAGAACAAAGAACATGGTATCTGGAAATGTTCCAGCGACAGACTCGCCCAGACCCCATGACCGTTTAACGCATAAATTGATAATCCGATAAACAGAAAGCAACAGAATAAGAGCTCCCTGTCCAGCAGAAGGATGGCATATCTACACTCGTGACATGGGCATGACCTCAGGACACCTCCCCTTTTCCCCCTGCATTCCAGAAAAGGGACGCATCCTTTTACTACTTTCAGAAAAGCGAAAGAAGTCGATTGGAAGATCGCGCCGTGGGACGGACTTAGGCCGCGGATCAAAAACCCAATGCAAGACAGACTCGCTTGTTTGCTTCTTCGCCTTTTGCCATGTTAAGAGCACTCCAACTTGTGCTCACACGCTTACCATCATAGCGATCGGTCATCTAAAACTCAAACACTTCAGTTGAAACTTCGTGATCGTCAGAGATCTTCAAAGAACTTAAAGTCTTGCAAACTTAGACTGTCTCAGAAGAACCGCCAGAGGCTCCTCCGTAACCCGGCAACCAACCAATCCAACGAGGGCTCTCCCGAAGGGACGGCATCCTGACGTCCTCTCAGTAAACAATCAGCAACGGAATTCCCTCAAGCAGCCAAACCAGGAAACTCAGCTTTTCAGCTGTCACCCAAAAACGCAAGTACAAACAAGGTCTTCTATCCGCTGAAATAGGTGCTGAACCATTTAAGCAGTAAACGTAAGACAAACCTCTGCTTTGTGATTTTCTCAGGTTGCAAGTAAGAGAACTGTAGCGAATATCTTGTTAAAACTTTGGGCTTTCCTCAGAACTCCATTAACATCATTCTTCAGAACTGTATGTATGTGTGTGTGTGTATGTGTGTTTTAGCTTAGTTTAAGAATAGAATAGCCAATAAATTCGTGTTTCATTTATAAAGAATCATTGTCTGGTGTCGTATAATTTTAAAGTCAAACCTTGCCAAGATCACGTTACCTCGCTAAGAGCTTACAAATTATCATAATTGTATTGACCTGTGGCCAAGGAAAATACACATAGTCAGATTGTTAAGATACACGGACATTAACGTCTCGCTCGTTGATAAGGTGTAAACTATTAAAATCTGAAATCAGTTCTAATCAGGTTGACTTCGAATTTTCCGATTCGAGTCCTCTCAAAACCTGAATGAATTAATAATAATTAATTCCCTAAGAAAAGTAATCAGACATTACATTAGACTTTGTGCATTTGACAAAACTTTAGAAAAAAAGCCTCCTATGATGCATGTATGTCCATAGTTAATACATATTTAATAACATTCAATGAAATATGAGATGAATTGATTCAGTGTGACATCCAGGACATGTGATTATGTAATGCACTGTTTAACTGAGTGTCTCTATACTCACTTGTCTTTCTACCTTACACACCCTTCCCAGCATGCTCACGTCTTCCAGAATGTCTCCGTCAGATAATAGCTTTTCTCTGACCTTTTTATCCATATGCATCTGGCCCCTACCAAGAATCTGATCCACCCTGAAAGTGAGAGAAAGAGATGTTAGCAAAAAGACACAGGAATGAAATGTGTGCAAAGAAATGAAGATTCTCATCCTAATGAGCAGACAGAGAATTGAGAGAAACTATGATGACAGAAATAATGATAGAAATTGCTACTATTAGCAAACAGGATTCAAGATTTCAATTTATCTTGTATACTAAAGTCCTTAGTGAGGAATTGAAATTTATATAGAATTATTGTTAATTTGCTGTTCATAGTTCATATTGTTAATTTGCTGTTCAAATCAGGGCTGTCCAAACTCGGTCCTGGAGGGCGGTGTCCTGCAGAGTTATGGACAGCCCTGATTTAGACTATGAAAAACGTCAGGAACTGTGATGTTCTGGTTTGGCCACATGGTGGCACTGGTCTCACTTCATTACAAACCTTGATAATTTGACTCCACTAGGCTTCAGTGAGAAAATAAAATAAAAAAGATACAGACTTATGGTGACAAATGGCTTGAGAAGAGATACTTGGCATACAATTGTCTGCCTTTTTTTACCTTTTAAATTAGACTAAATCTCAACTCCCAAGGTTTTATGGAATACCAAAGTGTCCACTTATTACATACTTGAGAATCTCAGCAAATGCATCAATACGTCTTTCGACTATTTTTTGCTAACTGTTAATTTTTTGCTAGGTGATCATGAATACTGAGTAAATGGACATTCTACGCATTTGACAATTTTCCCATAATATGCAGCAAGGCAGTACACACATTCAAACGCAGTGTTCTGAGTCGAAAATGTATGCAGCCATGATGAATAATGGCACATAATGATGTGCAATAATGATATATAGCTTCTTAAACACTCCGCATCACAATGTCTGGCAGAACCTCAGGGCTTCACCACCACCCAGTGACCCATATATGACCAAGGAGAAGCACTGCCTCAGGGCCCTCAGAACAGATGTGTCGTGATGACTAATTAATGCAAACCCAACATACCAGTGTGGATAAGATATAGAGGTCATGAATGTGGTTGCTAATAATCTTTGATTGTCATTGCTGAGTAAATGTTTTAGTTCACATACTGTATTATGCAACGTAGACTGATTGGCTGTGTATCAGGTATGATATGACCCCTGTTCCTAATGTGATATTAGCTGTAATTTATATGTAAAGAGAGAATGCCTAGTGATTAGTGCACATGCTTCATTTTGCGCTCATGTGGGTAATGCAATGCGAGTTCAAGTCTTTCCTTTTAATTTCAAGTGGCATAAAGTAAAAATTAAGACTTGTGTTATCTGCAGGTACACGTGTAGACCTACTCTAAAAGACAATTGTTAATAACAATAACAGTGTTAATCGATCAGCTATAGGCAGTTCTACAATAGGCACCAATGTTTTTATTCAGATCAAGTCAGTTCAAAATCAGTGTAAAGTAAAGTAGTTCTACAGAAAACAATAGTGTTGTTATTCAGCTTAATTCTTTTCAAATTTTGTTCTCATCTGATGGTGTCAGTCAATGTGGTTGTATCAAAACATTTCTGAAAGTTAAGGGTCTTTCAGACCCCAACTAAGAAAACCAGAAGCTGGCAGTGGCAAGGAACCCAAACTCCATCAGGTGACACAAATGAAGAAAAAAATTTGGGAGAAACTCCTCTGGCCTATATTGCAAATATATTTACACATACACATTAAGAACAAATGAAAATAAGAGAAAGTGAAAGTGACGTGACGTGTAGCCAAGTATGGTGTCATACTCGTAATTTGTGATCTGCATTTAACCAATCCAAGTGCACACACACAGCAGTGAGTAGTGAACACACACCCGGAGCAGTGGGTAGCCATTTTTGCTGCAGCACCTGGGGAGCAGTTGGGGGTTCGGTGCCTTGCTCAAGGGTCTAACCTCAGTTGTGGTATTGAAGGTGGAAGAGAGCACTGTACATTCACTCCCCCCACCTACAATCCCTGAGGGTACAGAGACTCGAACCTGCGACCTGCGGGTTACAAGTCCGGCTCTCTAACCATTAGGCCACAACTGCCCCATGCCCCCTCCCAATGCCATCTCATATAAACAACTTACCCCAAACTTTTGCATATGGTGGAAAAACATATTCGTACAGGAGTTGGTTTATCTTACCTGGTTTGCAGACTCTTAATTCGACAGAGCATGTCTAGATGACCGGCTGAATATTGCTCTATTACATCCTTTACGTCATATGGGCGCAGAGTTTCCTTAAACTTCTTCTTCGCCACATGGAATTTCATGATCCTGCAAAACCATATGCTAATGTTATTCTTCCTTTGAAGTCTTATGCAGCCCAAAACAAATATGTGAGCACAAATACAGAATCTGTCTAAAATACAGTACAACGATTTTTCAGTGACTAGATTATCGAAGGGAACAATAATAATAAAAAAAACCTTAGCCCAGTATATTTCAAATCAAATCAAACTGGAGTGACTCAGAATAACCACAGCAATGTTTCTGAAAACAAAGGTGATCAAATGACAGAGTAGACAAATCCAACACCCTGAGAAAGTCTGAGATTGGTGTCACACACATGACCAAACAGAGCCCAGCTGAAATCTACAGGGTTACCACAGCATTTCGCCTACAGCCTGGAATATTCAGTGAAGCAGGACAGCCTAAAGAAGACTGAGTTCATTTTTCATTCCTCAAAGTAAAAGCAAAAGTGAGAGGCTGGAAAAAATGAGCACATACTGTCAATCAAGCACTCAGCTTTCCACTGACCCACACATACTAGACAAAACAAAAAGAAAAGAGCGTGGTTGATGTGTGTCAAGTGTGAACAGTATGACAGTATTCTTTCTTCATAGTGAAATTAGTGAAACGAGATAATGAGACACTGATTCATCTCATGCTCTCAGTAACTATGAGAATAATTATATAAGACTGACAAGCAGACAATGCCATATTCATTAAAGGTGATGTGCATATTTTTGTGTATTTATGTTAAAATATTTTCTCAGTTTAGGCTCTAGAGTTTAAGAAAACCTTTTGTAGGTTGATTTCTCAGAAAATTGTAAACACTGTGGCTCTGCAGTGCAGTCAAACATCGCACTCTCTGCATAAGGCCTGTACCACAAAGTAGGTTTAAGCTGCGATCCACCCAAACACGATAAAATTATAAAATTATTAAGAACACTGTGGTATGGTTAGCCAGGTTATATTTGTTTGGGTTTGTAAAACTAAAACCAATTATAATACGGTTACATTCCTTGATTCTGATTGGTCAGCAGCTGTGTTTTATTCATGCGCGTGTCTGTGTGGAAGCCTACCGTTTCCGAAGTGAGGAGGGGATATTACAATATTTATTATTTTTCTGTTTCAGGTATGATTCTGTAGCTATGTCCATATGTTTACACTGTAATGATGCTTGCAAACTCGCGCTGTGTCTGTTTTAAAACTAAAAGACGGGAAAACAGACGTTTTCTCATGCTGAGATTATAAAATTATTAAGAACACTGTGGTATGGTTAGCCAGGTTATATTTGTTTGGGTTTGTAAAACTAAAACCAATTATAATACGGTTACATTCCTTGATTCTGATTGGTCAGCAGCTGTGTTTTATTCATGCGCGTGTCTGTGTGGAAGCCTACCGTTTCCGAAGTGAGGAGGGGATATTACAATATTTATTATTTTTCTGTTTCAGGTATGATTCTGTAGCTATGTCCATATGTTTACACTGTAATGATGCTTGCAAACTCGCGCTGTGTCTGTTTTAAAACTAAAAGACGGGAAAACAGACGTTTTCTCATGCGTGTTTCTCATGTATGTGTGTGAGAAAACATCATATATGGTGTTAAAAAAAAATGACACAGCGTATGATAAGAGCTCCTATTCTCTGTTTTTATTTAAGCTCCATTAGATGAGGCATGTTCGGAACATTCTCTTGCCGTTTACTGTTGCTGTCAGGAACTATTTTTTTTAGTGGAAGGACAGCATTTAACGAACTTGCTTCAAAAAAGTAACATTTCAATACATATATTTTTGGTTGTAATATTTTTTCTCCACTTCGCGTCGTGCCTAACAACGCCCTTCAGCCGTGATTTATTCACGATACAGCACGGCCTCGAGTACCTTATTGCTTACTTATGTAACCCTGAGTTTGTTCAACTCGTTTTGTGATATATTGTACAGACACCAGTCCAACTAAACAACATTGGCTCAACCAGTGGCGTTGTTTAACCTGTTAACCCGCACCACATAGGGTTCAAGAGCTACAGACATTTTTATTTGGGTATGTCGTTTTTCAGAAAATGCTCAAAAATAGGGGAGCACAGTAAGTGGTTAAAAAATCCCCACATTGTGCCACACTATTCACCTTTTCAAAAAAATCATTACACATCTAGCATGCAGGCCACAAAAACAGCTTGGAAATTAGCTTTGGTTAATACCGCATGCTGAAACTTTGAATTAATTCATATCAATAATCACAATGACAGCTCATCAAATGCTGAAGAGTTCTGAAATACTATACAGCAGTGAGAGAAGTGAACTGAAGTGAAGAATCGCTGCTCTTACCTCACTGCTCTGATGATGGTCTTCAGTGCAGGCGGCAGATCCTCTGCTGACATGTCACAATGACACCCTTTCTCATCAAAAGCCTCATCCACACCAACGTTAGCCTCACCTATGAAACACACAATGAAAAGTCAAACAGAGTCAGTCAAAAAGGAGAGATTAAATGTAAGCCATCACCAAATGAAAATAACTGGGGGAAAATGGAAGAGTAATAAGCAAGAGAAAAGCAAACAAACAAAAAACAGCATTAATTTTTCATTAAAAAGGTTCAAAGATCCTACTCAAAACAACATCTGAGACCAACTTCAGAGGACAAATGCAGCAATTGCAAATGAATATAAACTAATGAAGTAGTTCAGGTCAAACTGAATTGAAACTGAACAATTGTACTGTACTTGTACTAAAATGCATATCTAAGAATATACAGAATTTTAAGTCAATCAGAGTTTATGTAATAAAATGTACACATTTTCACAGGTCCTCATGACGTAAATCTCTCTTCTTAAAATATATATTTATGCCTGTTTTTCTGAGCTAGCATGTCAAATTACATTCCTGTGAATTTTACAATTGTAAGCATTACTTAAAAAAAATTAAATCTATTTTGGTGTAAATGTCTTTCCTTGTTTAACAGTAGATTATCTTATATTGGTAATAGTTCACATTTTTGAGTATAGTTTTCTGTGTAAAAAGAGGTGAATGCAGATTCAAGTGCATTTCTGCACCTACTGTACAAAAGGTTATCTATCTATGGCTACAACTATGAGGTAAACCAGAGACTGTGGAAAGGGAAGTGTTGTGTTGGATGCACAGGATTAATGCTAATTCAAGGATTGTCACAAACGGACTAGAGAGGCTGTAATCGATCAGTCTGTTGAAAGAGGAAGATATTTACGGCCATAGGGCATCACTGAGGAAGGGATATACACTTCTGGTTAAAATCGGAAGGTTTTCAGTTTGTGTTTTTTGACTGTATTGGGATTGTTGGATTGTTGAATCCAGGATGGTTGACTGTAGAATTGTGCTATTTCTCAAAAAGTTATAAGGTTCCAATAGGTTATGCCACTCACTTATGACAGTCAAACAGTTGGAGAGCCTTTTCCTGACAGCCCCTCACAAGGCCCGTTAAAATTCAGAGATGAAACACTCTTTAAACACATAATCCAGTCTGTAAACGGCATGCCAGGGTAATTGTTTAAGAACTAAGAATTAAGATTAAAACGGTTGATTAAAATACGTTTGCTAACTAAAATAATAAAGGAATTATAAAGGAATAGTTTACTCAAAAATAAAAATTTGCTGAAACTTTACTAACCCCCAGGCCATCTAAGATGTAGATGAGTTTGTTTCTTCTAAATAGATTTAGAGCAATTTAGCATTACATCACTTTCTCACTAAATGTCCAGCCCCTGTTTTCCTCGCATCAAAATCCACCCACATATTTGTTTAGAACTATTTTGGCCTGTTTTAGCTTGTGAACAGTTCTTGATCTGCATGTTTCTCTCCTGATTCTTTACTTTTCACTGATTTTTTTTTTCACTGGAGAAAGCAATATTATGGATTATGGACTCGTATTTTAGCCGGAAGCAACGGTTTTAAGTTAAAATGTTATAATGATGGATTTGTTTTTACAAAAATGCAGTTTTTCACTTCACAAGGTGTTAATTGATGGACTCGAGTCATGTGGATTATTGTGATCTTTTTATCAGCTGTTTGGACCCTCCTTCTGACGGCACCCATTCACTGCAGAGGATCCATTGGTGAGCAAGTAATGTACTGCTACATTTCTCCAAATCTGTTCCCATGAAGAAACTCATCTACATCTTGGATGACTTGAGGGTGAGTACATTTTCAGAAAATGTTCATTTTTGGGTTTAATATTCCTTTATAAATAAAATAAAATAAATAAATAACATTGGCTGAAAAAAAAAAAGAACACCAATTATTATAACAAAAATAAAAATCTGTTTTTGTAGTAATTGAGTACTCATATGGCGAATAAATTGACTTGTGTATCTGAGTGGGAGAAGACATGATGCCAGTAAGATTACTGAATGACTGGTTATATTTACATATAAACCTTGTTATAATTTGTTACTGTGATTTGATACTGTGTTTGTTTAATTCATATATGATCATGAAGCAAAAATGAAAATTCCGAAGGTGTTGCTGGGAATCAGAAAAGGGGTTCCCATTACATTTGGCTGTATTATATGTAAATAGTTGTAGCCTTTTGTTCTGGGTCTCCTGCTTGTTTCATGAAAGTGCTTTACGTCTTTGGCTGTAGGGTGACAGAACAAGAAGCACACTAAGACACTTAAAGTTGGGTAATATTTTTCATTAACCACTTCACTAAACTATTCTGATTGTATAATGCATATGATATTATGCCTTACAGCTTTCCCACAGGATAAAGACTTCAAATTACATCTAAATCATACCATGCCTTGTGCATTCATTATTATGTCTGAATTATACATAATACATAAATTACAACAGAGAGATGTCTTAACCTCATAGGGGATATATACAGAGCCTTAGGCAGTATAGTCCAATGAGTGGATGAAAGAAGTTTCTCATTCAGACCATTGTTTTACTCTTTACAGTATCTGCTGTTACAACAGTTATTTGTGGTCCTGTTTTTAACTGGATAAGCAGCAGCATTACAGTGCTGATATTCACCCCAACAACACTGGGAGATTCTGCTTGTCTATGTTTTCTGCTCCAGACAGGCTTTCATTTTAAGCATTTGTGGTGGTGATTTTTCAGTGACCCTTTCTGTAGGCCACATTCATACATCATCTTTGTGTGTATTATGAGTCACTAAATAATTTACTCAAATGATTGGTACAAAAACACAAATACTTTTAGGAATGGAACACTACTATAGTGTATTGATTTGAGACGTGCAATGGTTGATTCTGCTTTGGTTTCATTTATAAGTATTTATACTGGTAAAGCACAGACAAAGAAACTGTCTTAAATTCAACTCCACATTGACTCCTTTTATTACTGAACTTTTGTATAAAAGCAATATCACGTTTGCATTCCTCTGTTGCACTCCTGCCATTGGTTCAATGAACAGAAATTAATTAATCATATCACTACATGGCATGCTTACACACTGATAATCTGCCATAAACAAAGAAAAAAAAAAGGAAAGATAGAAAAAGGGAAGAAGGAATGACGAAGAAATGAATCCTAGTTTAGTCAATGGCCTTTGGGACCCAATCAGGAAAACTTGGACTCACAATGATCTCAATCAGAGGGACAAACTATTATTTTTGATAACAACCAAAAATTATGAGAATTACAATCATAATCATTATAAGTATGACAATCATTATTAGCTCTCTAATGTGTCACCATGGCTGGCTGTAATTATATTGGTTCTCTGAAATTCTGAGATTTTGAAAAAAAATCAGTCACAATGTTATTTATTTATTTGGAGGAAGAAAAAAAAAATTCCCATTTTATGTTCAGATTTTGAATTTCATTATATCTCTTCACTACATAGCCAGTGCAGAATAAAAAAGTTTTGAGCTAATTTCTCATTTTAATGCAATTAAATCACTGGTTTGTTCAAAGTAATTCTCGAATCAGAATGTTATTCACCTTCAGGGGTGGACCGTGATTGGCTCTTGAGACGGAGGGAGGGTCTGAATCGGGTGCGATCATTAAAACTCCAACTCTTCTGGACCTTGGCAGGACTCGATCCATCAGTGCTGATCTCAGCTCCGGGCGAACGTCTGTCTGTAACAGATATCTGCCTGCTTTTAATGCTCTGTCCACGTGGGCTTGCCATTCTTACCCGGTCCTTAAAACTCAGTTTCTGACTGAGAAGGGAAAAAAGGGAGAGAATAAGAGAGTGGAAGAAAGAACAGCACTTTCCTTCCTGCCATGAGACATGGCAATGGCAATCAAAGAGCAGCATGAAGCACAAAAAGTGCAGAGGCCAAGTCATTTTTATTATTCCTGCATTGCTTGCTTAGACCCCCATAGTATTAGAAGTGCAGTCAAACAACCACTCTAAAAAATCATTATGAAAGAGCCCTTCAGGTATAATATGCCAAGAAAAAATCTAATGTAAGATGAAAGACTCTAGAGGAACATCGAGAACAGAGGGATAAAAATCCTTTAGAAGTAATCTGTCTGTCTGTCTATCTTAATTGATTTACATCAATATGGCTTGAAAGTTTAAGGATTTTTCACTTAATTACAAATATGTTGAGATATTTATGTGTGTTTAATTGTTCTTTTATTACATGTTTTGTGAGTACTGAAATGCTCTTCAAGCTATTTTTCATGCATGGTTATTAACATTTTGGCACATGGTCAACACTGTAGATCAAAATCTTAATATTTGATTGCTTTGCTAATTTCAATGATTACAATTTCTAACGATGAATATTATTTAGTCACATGTGAATTCAGAGATGTTCACAGGTCACTGATGCAGAGTGCAGATCAAGTCTTTAAAGGTCAAAGTGTAAGTCAAATCTCATTTATAGTGAAACCTCTGTGAAATTTTGCAGGTAAAAAAGGTGAATTGTCTATTGTCTTCAATAGTTTAGCGATACATAAAGCACCACTCACATAGAGGTGACTTTCAAACCAAGCAGCTTTCTTTTGGTCAATCTGATGATATGGCGTAACCAACTTAAACTCAATGTAAAATCTATGTGTGGAATTTTTTTTCCCTCATTGGAAACTCACTAACGTGTAGATTTGTATTGAAATTACTGGATTTCGAACACGAAATTGCATAGAGCAACAGTAAATATTACCATGCCTTTGGGGTCAGATTTCCTAACAGCTTGCGCCAGCGCAAACCCTCTTTTGGTGTTAAAAACAGGATTCACTAAAGATGCGCAGTGAAAAATTAGCAATGAAAAGGCATGGACAGTTATTTTTGCAGCTTATTGCATATGCATTTGTAGCAGTTTCCCTTTCAGACGCAAAATGTATGGGAGGAGAGTTTAACTCACTCAACAGTTGCACTCTCACGCTAATTTGCTTTATTTAGTAAATCTTGCCCTTAGTCTCTTAGTCTCATGCTATCTGTTTAACAAGTAGTCTCGTGTGTGTACACTCCTTCTGTCAAAATTGGCAAAAGCGGTAAAACTATGGTATGAGGTTTTAGAAAGTATGCAAATGCCATTTTGAGAAAATATTTCACATTCACCAATTCCATCTCTTCACAAAAAGCTAGAGTATATTTTCTGTTGAACACTCACGGAAAAACATTATCAGTATCCAGTTGAAGAGAAAATACACTGTACTCCTCTCTATTTCAGAGAAAACAATGGGACAGACAGCTGAACATGAGTCAGAGAAAAGAGCAGCGGCCACTCAAAAATGCAGCACTGCAGTGAGTCATCCACTTCTGCTCAATAATGTCACATTAGCAACCATGCTAATTATGGTATCATTGCCTCTTGGTCATTGATGAGTACTGCATCATAAATGAGTGGATGGATAGTCGTTTCACACAAACAACTGGTCAGAATGCACAGAAGCACCATATCCAAACGCCTCTGTAAAATCTGATGTTTACTCTTCAGACAATGGTTACAGACAAATAGATGATTTTAATTGATTTGTTCTGCACTTAATAAATACATGATGTGGAAATGATTTCGTCTGGCCTTGTTCATGCTGGCCACACTATTACGGCTGAATCTGAAGTTCTATCTTAGTAATTATGCAAATAACACCACTAGCTCTTCCTGTTATCTGGACTGATGACACTATGCATTTGTAGCTACTGTGTAATGCAGTCATTCAAACAGTCTGACTTGACTTTTTCATCTCCATTATTTTCTCTCTCTAATTGAAGTCAAGGCCCCCAATAATCACATTTGTCTGGTAAGTGACAAACATAAATAAATCTCAATTACTTGCTATTCCATATTCCATTACATTTGTTTAATGTATACATTACTGATGAAAATTAGTGTGCACTTCATAACAGATGGCAGCAAAGTCTCAGACATCAGAGGAAAGATAATTTTGTGTTGGCCAAACTATACTGACCAAAAGCATGTTTCCTCCTCAGATTATAATATGTAAAAAAGTAATTGCGAGATGAAGGTTGAAATAAGAAATAAAGTCTCAATTGTGAGACTTAAAGGCACGATTTTGAGAGATAAAATCACATAGTGAGCTATAAAGTTGCAATTACAAGAAACAAAGCCATAAGTGAGAGCTCCCTGTATAAAGTCAAATTGGAAATTCACTGTAAGATAAAAAAATCACAATTGCACAAATTTAAAGTCGCACTTATGTGGAATACAATTGTGAAATATTAAGTTACATTACAAAATATAAAGTCACATTTTGAGATATAAAGTCACAGTTAAACTTAACAGTTATATTTATTAGAAATATAGCTGGAATTACAATAAATAAAGCCTAATTTTTAGGATAGAAAGTAACATTGTGAGACAAAGTCGCAATTACCTTTTTATGTTTCGTTTCAAGGCAGAACCAGGCTTCTATAGTCAAATGAGGTTTGACACTAGCATAACAACTGTAATGGTTAAAATTCTGTCTCAGTTGTAAATGATTTATAGTATACAGTATATAACATATGGAACAATACAAACCTTGTAGATGACTCTCCTTGATCCTTCCTTTGGGTGTCAGAAGGTGATGTAGAAAGAGAAATACATAAGTGAGATGTTTTCAATTAATCTTCAGTTGACAATAAACTACACATGACACAAGTTCAGATTCTTTGGATCCAGTTTACCATAAAATACTTCATGCATACTAACGCATCAAAAGCAACAGCCAGTTCAAAACATAATGCATGGATAAATGCAACCATTAGCATATACAAGCATATCAAAACATGCAGTGTATTGCATGACATTCAAAAGCTCAAGCAAACAAACGTGCCATATTTGAAGCCCTACTAAATGACTAGTTTATTCTCTGTGTATTTACAGTAATGCTTAATAGCAGGTCTATTCACATTTCAGGGACCTGTGTGTTATAAGGGCATATATGAATGATAAGCCAAAAGCAATGATGTCCTTTGTCTTAATCAGTTCGCCAATTTGACTGCTGCTAATACTATTTACCAAAACGGAGCACTGTTCATTCACTTCATCTATGATTGGGCCATTATAACAGAATGTGGGCATAAATGCGAAATGGAGAGAAACATTACTGTCCATTCGCTTCATTTTTTTCCCTTTCATTTTGAGAGAAAGACTGCAATCAGGTGATTTCATGGACAGCTAGCCCTACATTAGACCTACTATTGTCTATCTTGTGATGGCCATGAAAATATCAGATAAATACGAAATGGACAATTTACTTTTTTGAATAATTTAATGAAGAGGACGTGAAAAGAGAATGAAACATGTGGGAGACAGGCACAATTACATTACATGGGGAAATCAAACAAATAGAGGGAAAGATGAAAGTTTTCTATTGTGGAAAATGAATGAAGCGAGGGAGCAGCCAGGAGATAGAATAGCAGCTGCCAGGGGTTTGTACCTACTTCGTAGGACTGCAGGTATGCAACGCCTTCAAATGTGGTTTCCAGGTAGCAACGGAAACCGAGTTCTCATCAGCCGCATAACTACGCCACACACACTACATGCAAAAATATATAAAACCAAAAGAACAAGAGATAAAGGAAGAAGAGGAAAAACAGAAGAAAAACAAGCCAATAGAAGAGGAAGAGAAGAAAAAAAAGGAAAAAAAGCAGATTAGTAAAAAAGAACCACTTGTTTTTTCGGTCAGAGCAGGCACCCATACATGCCTCAGGACAAGGATTGTAGACTCATAGTGACGCCAAGTGGCCTCAAGGTAAGGACGATTACCATCAGTGGAGTAATATCGCCACGCAGCCTTATTCAGGGTTAGGGAGAGTAAAACACTGTAAGCAGAAATATAATACACACACACACACACACACACACACACACACACACACACACACACACACACACACTCCTATTGGTATTCCTATCATTGTGGGGACATTCCATAGGCGTAATGGTTTTTATACTGTACAAACTGTATTTTCTATTCCCTACCGCTAACCCTACCCATCACACAAAACTTTCTGCATTTTTAGATTTTCAAAAAACATTCTGTATGATTTCTAAGTTGTTTTCCTCATGAAGTCAAAAAAAAAAAAAGTCCACACAAAGTCAAAATTTACTGGTATTACTATCCTTGTGGGGACATTTGGGCCCCATAATGTAGGGAATACCAGGTACACACACACACACACACACACGCATGCACACACACTCAGGTTTGTTTTTATGGTTTGTGGGGACTCTCCATAGGCGTAATGGTTTTTATACTGTACAAACCGTATTTTCTATTGCCCTACACCAACCCTACACCTAAACCTACCCCTTTCTTTCAAAAAAACTCACTGATTTATAAGCCTTTTGAATTACGGGGACACTGAAAATGTCCTCATAAATCACATTCTCGTTGTAATACCTATGTCATACCCATGTTATTATACAAATTTGTGTCCTCATAAACCACATAAACATGCACACACATACACACACACACACACACACACACACACACACACACAGAGGTTTTCATGTTTTATGGGGACATTCCATAGATGTAATGGTTTTTATATTGTACAAACTGTATTTGTTATCCTCTAACCCTACCTCTCACACAAAGCTTTCTGCATTTTTAGATCTTAAAAAAAAACACATTAATTCTGTGAAACTGTGATTTATAAGCCCTCATGGGCATCAAAAATGTCCCCACAAAGTAAAAAATTACTGGTACTGCTATCACTGTGGGAACTTTTGGTCCCCATAATGTAGGGAATACCATGTACACACACATACATACACAAACACATAGAAGTGAAGTTCCCCCAATGCATTTTGCAACAAACTCTTAATTGCTGGTATCAAAACAAAATCTGCCCCTATTAAAACCAGCAAAACACTGAATATCCAAGTAAATAAAATCCCTTTGCTGTGAAATGAATCATATTTGCCTGTTAGGTAAGACTATCTCTAGGCAGTCTCAGCCATTTCATAAAAGATTTATCAGGCAACAAAGACCATTGTGGCGCATTCAGACACACATAACAGTTATATAAAAATATATGAGACCATTAGCAAGCAGTGCTCTACTCAGAGGCATGACATTTAACATAACATTCTCTGTCATAAAAATGACACCAGAAACCAAATTCTACTGTACAGGATTGTAATCTCCCAAAATGTGAGAGCAGATGTAACGGCTCTGGTGTCTGACCTGTATAAGGCAGGCAGCAGGATTCCTTCTCTTCTCAAAGTGCTTCTGTCTGTGCTGTTCTTGAACCTTCAGGGCAAAACCTGAACCCAAAATACCCTGCAATGCAAGTAAAGTAGAACCATGTCACTAATGCTTCAGACAATAGGACTGTCGGAAACACACTCACGCTAGCAGCTTTAATTTAACTGATCTGAGTGGTCAAACTCAGCTCCCTCAAAGACGATCATTTAATGACAAGAAGTGGAAGTCCAAAGGGGTGAGTTGTTTAATTCAAAATTAGAACATACATTTCCACCACTTCCATCAGCCCATTTAAGCTGATTTGTAAATTTGGCTGCAAACCTTGTTGCTCTTGACAGGCTAATCAGCCAAACTGACTTTGCATTTTCTCACAAAGACACCAAATTAACTTCTGCTTTATGAAAATTTAGCCAAGAAAAAGATTTAAATTTTGTAGAGAAAGCTGAAAACCAAGAAGAACATTAGCAACTGTCCCAATTATGCAAATTATTTTCTTTATTAGTGTTGTATCTGGAGAAGTGACAAGATAAACAAACACTGGATTAATATTGTAAGTAGTATAAGGAAGTAATGAGGATGTTTTTAAAAAATGTTTTATTTGGCTGTAAGTAAGCTTTACCGCAGGCAGGGTGAAGAAGGAGATCCCAAGCAGGGCAAAGCCAGCAGATAGCATTCGTCCAGTCCAGGTTTTAGGAGTCTTATCTCCATAACCTATAGTAGTGAGGGTGATCTAATAAAAACAAAAAACAAACACAAACACAAAATAAAAAATAAAAAACAGTAAGGGTCAATGGAGAACTTTCGAGTCACCATGTACTTATATTTGTATCTGTGAACTTAAGTTTTGATCTTTGCCAAGATGATGAAAGACTTGCCAATCTGGATCAGATGACTTTGAATAAAGGCTATTATAATAATTTATGACAGAATGTCCTTTAGGATTTACAAAAGTGAACAAAATTTAATTTAAATTTTTTTGTATTTACATTTTTTTATTTGATTCTAATACATTCATTAATGTTACCACAAACTGCATAGTCCCAACATTATTCCACCTTATTAATATGACATAAACTGAACAGAAAACAATTCTGTTTTCTGAATGTTTCTTTAAAAATTCATGCTCTAGTCTAACCCGCTAATAACTGACTGCATAAAACACATTGGGGTCGATATAAACTGTTTATCCTCACTGCAATGAGCTGGTGTTTAGCATAGTTTGGGTTATTTTTCTTTTTACCTTGTGTAATTTTGTTTATGGTTTTTGAGGATGACGGTATGTCAAGCAGCTTGTCCATTTTGGCATCTGGTTAATTTGGCTAGCTTTTACCTAGTGACAGACTGAATTTGTGGCCAAAATAGCACAGAGCTTTACTGTCTTTGACATCAACAACAAATATACAGGAAGTGTTAAAGTTAATAAATCTATTTTTCTATGCATGATTACCTGGTTAGTTACACTGTATTATTTGCACTTAGCATTGCTTTTTCCCTGCAATTGCGACCTCATCAGAACAGACCTGCTACCTAGTAGTTTTATATATATATATATATATATATACAGTATATATATATATGTTCTAGATATTTTATTGTAATACAGATAAATCTGTATGTGTTTATGTCTACACTTATGCATAAATATGCATTTGTGTATCTTTTGGGTTGAAACAACCCGTATGAGCCTGAAATCTATTCTCTGAACCATCAATGGCATCCAAGCGAGACCAGAGATGGCGTTTATCATTTTGTGCCATCATAATTACTTTCTATCTCCATGGAAATGGAATCTAATGGGCCTCCGTATAACCTTTATGGAAACGGTTTCAATTTCCCAAACAAGGTGGAAGGCTAAAAAGTTTGAGCCTGAAAAATATAACTGAAATGTGAAATCAATGATCATATTAAACTGAAACCAGTACGTCTTGCAGTTTTCCAGTAATGTTGGACATTAGCAAGAGCGGCGAAAATTACCCAGGAATAATTGCGTAAGAGTTGCAGAATGCTAAGAAAAAACGCATTTGGCACCACAAAAACTTATTTTGTGAAGCTCAGTATAAGTCAGAATATTACTTGGACTCTGGTGTCCAAGACTCACCGTGCCCCACCACAATGCATCCGCATAGGTGGCAAAGTCTTTATTGCACTCCTTTTCCACCAGATAAACCAGGAAAGAGGAAAAGATGAGCACAAGGAACCCAATGTACCAGGCAGTGACCAATTCCTGTTCGACAGAGAAGCAGATACTGACATTAAGAGGACATCTGCACACCAGGATGATACTTACAAAACTACATAAAGTACTTCAGGAAATGATACAGCAGTTTTTGCTCATAAAACAAAGCGTGCTTTTAAATTAGTATATCAAAGTCATTAAAAAAAAAAAATTCTAGATGGTGACTTCTCAATACAATAAACTTACCTTGCTGTGTGCATAAACTACAGATCCCAGAAGCTTCCAAGTTCCTCCACGGCGGTCCATGCGTACCATTCGCAAGATCTGTAAAAACCTTAAGCTTCGCAGTGCAGATGTTGCAAAAATGTTGCTTTGACTCCCAACTGAAACCACCGCAACAGAGGCAATAAGCACTATAATGTCTGACGGTTGGGGGAAAAAAACAGAAACATTTATGTTAGAAAACATTTTAAATGAGTAGCATTATCGCAGAATATCACAGGAGATATCATTTGCCATGTGTGCTTTAACTGCATGTAAAATTCTAAAATATTTATGTAGATACATGGTCCTCTGGACAATTGAATTTTGACTGGTCAAATGCTTTTGCATTTGGCAACATACCAGTTTCCTTTCTTTCATCTTGTTGCCAGGCCAGTTGTTTTCTATGTTATAATGGACTATTTTTCTTAGTAGATAATAAAAGAGATAATAAAATAAATAAGCAGTAATAAGAAATAAATGTATCAGGGAGTATAATGTGTAGACAGCTGGTCATTATTCTTAATGGGTGATCAGGGCCCAGAAATCATATTTTTAAGGAGACTCATTAAGACAAAACCGACTGTTTTAAAATATGACGATCTAAACTGAAAATACATTTAACCTGCATCATCTTTTTGCATCACCTGACTTCCTAGGTGACCTGTCCTTGTAATAATTATACTGTAAATCCCATTTGAAAAAAAGTGAATCTTAATCTAAAATGAATCTAAATCTTTTTTGACTTGAAGGCCACCTATTATATTTCGTCCAGCATTTCATCTGTAGTTACATGAAGAGCTGCTTTCCCCCCAAGCTTTTTTAATAACAGAAACTCTGAGCATATTGAATTAACTGACTAATGATTCACTTCCAGATGTTTCAAGAACTGCATGTTCTTCAATAAAAACACTGAGTGGAGAAAAAAAGATTTCAGTTTACATCTTAATTTTGTGTGTTTTAATTAATTGAGATTATTTTAATGTAATTAATTTTAATAATTTAAAGTCACCACTGTACATCAATGTACAATATGTCTTCTGTTTATATGTAAATGTCTCATTAACCTGAAATACTGTCAAGTTAATTCAGGTAAATGAGAATGACATCTCCTCAGCTCAAACTAGACAATTTACTTCTTAAATGAAAGTTCACAGAGGTATGTAGATTAATGTACATTATTGAAAAGAGTGATTTCCAAACTGTTATTTTGCCCATATTCTGTGGGAAAAGAGAATTGAGGGAGGGGAAAAGAGGGAGAAAGAGACAGAAAGAACAAGAGAAGGACACAGGAAGTTCACACAGAAACCACATCCACTTGGAGAAGCGACATCAAACCCTCAAGGAACACAAACAACTCCAAGGCACTACTCAACTGCAATAATATTTTCTTTCTCTTTTTGATCCTCCTCTAATTTCTCATATTCTTTGTAGCTGATGAACTCAAACTTTCTGGAGAAAGGGCATTCATGCTCAGCCACTCTGCTGCTCTCTGCTGTAGTCTGTCGTTATAAGTCAAATCAACACATTACATGTGTTCTTAAAGTCTTCAGGGAGCCTTGAGCTGGGAGGGAAATGCTTATTTAGGTGTAGAAGTGCACTCTGGATTTATAAATTATGACTCCCGTTATCCAGCACAGCAGAGAGATGACTCATGAACTCAAAAACATCAGGCCTTCACATGAAACAGTCCACCATTACAATTCAGAATCAGCCCTGTTGAAAAGTGAATTTTTTTTGTTCCACTATCTTTTAAAAAAGAATGTTGAAGTATTATGGGGTCCAAAAGCCTGAAACCTCTAGTGACAATGCTTTTATTTAGCATGTGTCTAATTGAATATAACTCATATAAAACATCTAACAATTTGTTTTGTTCAAAGTCCTAAAACGTTTCATGTTGATGTCAGATTTAAAGGACAGCAATATAGAGGACAATAGAGGACAATAGAGGACTCTCAGACGTTTGGACGCTCATTCATCCATTCGACACCCATTGACTGCAGATTACCTATTTGTGAGCAAATGATGTAATGCTAAATTTCTGTTCCCATGTATGAAGAAACAAACTCAACTACATATTGGATGGCCTGAGGGTGAGTTTATTTTCAGCAAATTTTCATTTTTAAATGAACTATTTATTTAAAATAGATTTTGAATACCAGATTTTCAGTATAGGTCAACGCTATATATCAAACTACCCTGATGAGAAATCTAGCTACACAATGCAGTATATACATTTTAAATTTTATGCCAGCAAACTAAATCTGAAATAAATGTTATTTTTCTTTGTGCAGTATGTGATTAACTAACTTTGAGAAATGGCAGGGGACACACATTCTTGGTGTTGCTATAAACTGCTGGAGTGTTTTCCTGCACTACAAAAATATCACATACATCATCATCTGAACACTATTCTTTCTCTGGCAGGGTTCATTCATCAGTTTAACACACAAATACCATCTAATGGAGGCTAATGACTTGTTCAATTAATTAGGAAACGTACACTTAATTAAAATTTGACAAAGCAAAATAAACCTTGTCTGAATAAGTTTATTCTGGAAACAGCTTCCCAACCCATTTGTAAAAAAAAAAAACTTAAAACTAACTGTCCAATGACAATCATGGTATATAATGCACGAATGCAGTAGTTCCTAAAGCATGTAGCTCCTAGTCAGATGTTAGCAACACTATTTACCCTTAGGTCCTGTAGGACCTCTGAGCATAGAAATATTCATGAAAATGAATCACCTGTTATTAATTCTTAGTGCATTCTGTTTCCATTAACATCATATTGATGGAATGGGGCTGTAAATGTGTGTGTGTGTGTGTGTGTGTGTGTGTGTGTGTGTGTGGCATAAAGTGACTTCAGCCAGAAAGAAAATGTCATGACAATTCTATATTAGCATGCTATAAAGCCACCTTCACAAGTCTCTAAAAACATCCATTACCTTCAAATTTGTTTCAAAAAGTAGCCTAATGGTTATATGATGAAGTTTCACATGAATATGGACCAACCATTAGACCAACCATTAATCAAATTGTCATCACCACAATTATTTGATATAGAATAGTGCAGGTATGACGTCAAAACCCAGAAGACTAATTCGCCATGGGTTCCCTCGAGATTTTCCTGTGGGTTTTTTTTAATTTATGAGCAAAATAAGGTCTGTGGTAAACCTAACTTGACGATACTTGAACATTTTGCTCTACAATGTAAATTACACACACCCATACTGAAAACGCAAATTTTGAAGCTGTTATGAAACGTATGTTTCTAATAAATAGCTACATTGGAATGTCTGTGGTGTGAGTGTATGCAGTTTACATTGCAGAACAAAACATTCAAGTATCGTCAAGTTAGGTTTACCACAGACTTTATTTTACAAAAAAAAAAGTGAAAAACCTTATTATAAAACCCTATAGGAAAATGTAGAGGGAACCCATGGCGAATTAGTCTTCTGGGTATTGACGTCATATCTGCACCACTTTATTATAAGTGGGTATTTTTCAGGTTTTCACACATTTTAGTGGCTCCCTAGTTCAGCTCTAAATGCACTAGCAAGGGAGTCAAAATCATTCCAGTAGAGAGACATTTGCTCCATATAACTTCCCAGATTGCCCGCCTAAAAATCTGTGAAAAATATTAAATCCAAAATTGTCAAGGATGAGCACAATGAATATATGAAATAAGGATGAATCTTGTTTTCCAGTAGATTATGTTTTTAATTAACTCTTATCCCTAGTGTGCATGAAACCGCACCAATTTCATAATGGCACTGTATGGCTGAACAGCTGCAACGAAGATGTACAATTCACCAAGTCTGTATTTATTTACCATTTCAAACAACTGTTTTCTTTGTGAATATACTTTAAAATGTAATTTATTCCTGTGATGTGAAGTTGAATTTTCAGCAGCTATTATTCCAGTTTTCAGTGTCACATACTACTTCAGGAATCATTTTAATATGCTGATTTGCTGCTCAAGAAACATTTCTTATCATCAATATATATTTGATGGCCTAAAGATACATCAGGCAAGGATGAAATGCACAGAGCGGGAGAACGTACTGCAGCGCACAGGATCTGATTCTGTGAGACGCAGGAGGAGCCCGGCCAGGAATCACCCCACAGAGCCGAGTCCCTCCAAGCAGTAGAGCCCTCCAATTCCTGCAGAGTAGTTCCAAAAAAGCAGATCAAGTGGCCTTCATTTAACAGCCAAACCATGTGGTCACAGTTTGACAGTTGATGTTTGCAAGATCCTGAAAGCTACGGCTAAAGGGGAAGTGGACAGCCGGCTTGAGGCCATGACGGCGGTCATTGTCGGCTACGCGTCTGAGAGATTTGGCCTTGTCGAGAGTAGAAACACCAAGCCCACCTACTCTAGGAACCATAGAGCCATAAAGATACACCAACTGCGTCAGGATCTTCGAAGTCTCAAACATCAGTACAAGGGGGCAAGTGAAGAAGAAAAGCAACCACTTGCTGAGCTTCGGGACATCCTAAGAAAAAAGTTCATGTCCCTGCGCAGGGCAGAGTGGCACCGAAGGCGGGTTAAGGAAAGAGCGAGGAAGCATTCTGCCTTTATTTACAACCCTTTCTCCTTCACTAAGAAGCTTCTAGGTGACAAGCGCAATGGCAGTCTCATGTGCTCAACTGAGGAAGTAAACTCTTTCTTGCACAATACCCTTAGCAACCCAGATAGAGAACTGGAACTGGAACCATATACAGCCCTCATAAGTCCACAATCTCCAACATTTGACTTTGTTATGAGAGAGCCCAGCTGGATAGAGGTTCAGGAAGTGGTAAGAAGAGCCAGATCAGTGTCCGCTCCAGGGCCTAGCGGTGTCCCATACATTGTGTACAAGCGCTGCCCGCAACTCCTTCGGCACCTGTGGAAGAGTCTGAGGGCGCAGGGGAAGAGTCTCCAAGATGTGCAGAAGGCGTATGGATCCCCAAGGAAGAGAATTCAATAAACATCAGTCTGTTTAGAGTTATCTCACTGCTAAGCATTGAAGGCAAGATTTTCTTCAGCATCCTGTCACGACAACTTACTGAATTCCTCCTGAAGAACAAATATATTGATACTTCTGTGCAAAAGGGTGGAATTTCAGGAGTGCCTGGCTGTTTGGAACACACAGGAGTCATTACTCAACTCATCAGGGAGGCTCGAGAAGGAAAAGGAGACCTCACTGTATTATGGTTAGACCTTGCTAGCGCATATGGATCCATACCTTTCAATCTTATTGTGCTTGCCCTCCAACGACATCATGTTCCCAGCAAAATTATGGACCTTATCCTGGACTATTACAGCAATTTCAGTCTAAGAGTCACTGCTGGATCAGGTACATCAGACTGGCATCGACTAGAAAAAGGCATAATTACAGGTTGTACCATCTCAGTCATTCTCTTTGCCCTCGCCATGAACATGATCGTCAAGTCAGCAGAGGTGGAGTGCAGAGGCCCTGTGATGAAAACGGGAGTGCGACAGCCCCCCATAATAGCCTTTATGGATGACCTGACCGTCACAACTACATCTGTCCGGGGCAGTAGGTGAATTCTTCAAGTGCTAGAAAAAGTAATTAACCCTTTGAGCGGTATTTTAATTTCCGTGCCCCTGGGAGTACGGTCCCACATATGGGATTTAGAACGTTCGGTGACGTGACATAACTGCCAAATTCAAACTGTGATTTCGCGATTTAGCTGGCGCTGAGCCAGAGAGAGAAGTGCACTATTATCACAACTATGCAGTGTTTTTAACCACATAATGTTTATTTTAGGTTTCAGACATTTAAATACACATAAGTACTAGTAAAACAATACATTTAGAGTTTGCAAAATACACACATATGTCTATGGAAGCAACAATAACAATCCATTCAAATGTAATTTGCCGATGTGTTTTATTCATATCAGATATGCATAGTGTAAGTAATTATAAAGTTCACTCTATTCTTCTCCCAGTTCACCGGCCACTTATTACTTGTATTTCGGGAGAAATTTATGAATTCACGTGCTGCAAATCCGACTGACAGGACTCTCTGAACTGCAGTGCGAACAAACATGGCGGCGCCCAAGATCATTTAGAAAGGTTTTGAAATGACAAAACACACTCATTTACACATATTTGTGAATTGGAATATCAGATTGTTCATGACATGGAATGCAAGTTTGTGAATATTTTAAATAAAAAAGGAGAAACGAAATAAAAGCGATCCATCTGTCATACAGTGTTATTGTGGCCGTGGTGTGTCATGTGACAAGCATTACGCATCACCATGGAAACAGTCAGGGGAAACTCTGGGGGGACCGCCAGAATATTTTAAACTCACCACTGAAAGGGTTAACTGGGCAAGGATGAGCTTTAAGCCAGCAAAATCAAGGTCGCTAGTGCTAAAGAGGGGGAGAGTAGTGGATAAGTTCCGATTTTCACTGAACGGAGCCACAATTCCATCCATTACTGAGCAGCCAGTCAAGAGCCTCGGTAAGCTCTTTGACTGTAGCCTCAAAGACTCTGCCTCCATCCAGAAAGCTAGTAAAGAACTGGAGACTTGGTTTAGTAAGGTGGACAAATCAGGTCTTCCAGGGAGGTTTAAAGCCTGGATTTACCAGCATTCTATCCTGCCCCGGATCCTGTGGCCCTTGCTAGTGTACGAGGTGCCCATAACAACTATTGAGGCCCTGGAGAGAAAGATCAGCAGCTATCTGAGCAGTGCTGCTTTGTACGGCACCAGCAATGTCCTGCAACTCCCGATTAGCAGTCTCATTGAAGAGTTCATGGTGGCAAGAACACAGGAAGTGTGGCAGTATAGAAAGTCCAGGGATCCAAAGGTGGCAGCAGCTGGCATACAGGTGCGAACAGGCAGGAAATGGAGTGCAGAAAAATCGTTGGAACCGGCGGAGTCACGACTGAGGCACAAACGTTAAGATCACTTGGGCTGACATTTGGAAAAAATACTTCCATCAAATCAGGTTCTTAGTCCAAACCGTTTACGATGTCTTACCATGTCCAGCAAACGTCCACGTCTGGGGTAAAAGTGAGATACCCTCCTGCCCCCTCTGTTCAGGAAGGGGATCACTAGAACATCTCCTTAGCAGCTGCCCAAAATCCCTTGGAGAAAGGCACTATCGCTGGCGCCAAAACCAGGTGCTTAAGGCAGTTGCTGAGAGTATTGCCACAGCCATCAAGGGCCACCACCATAAGCCAAAGACCATCAAGTTCCTCAGAGCTGGAGAGAAGGCCCACCCACAGCCGAGAGTAAAGTCTGGTCTCCTCGCAACTGCTACTGACTGGCAACTGGAAGTGGATCTTGATAAACGACTGAAAATCCCAACCAGAATAACATCTACACAGCTTCGTCCAGACATGATCATTGGTTCAGATCATTGTTTTCAAGACCAAACAATTGATCTTGCTGTAGCTTTCTGTGCCTTGGGAAGAGCGCATGGACGAGGCCAATGAGAGGAAGCGTGCTAAACACCAAGAGCTGGTTGAAGAGTGCAGGAGGCAGGGCTGGCAAACTCGTTGTGAGCCTCTGGAGGTGGGCTGCAGGGGTTTTGCAGGGCGATCACTCTGCAAAGAATTCACACTTCTAGGTATCACCGGGGAGGTGAAAAGGCGATCAGATCCACAACTGAAGCTGCAGAAAAAGCCAATAGGTGGCTTTGGATTAAGAGGGCAGAACCATGGCCAATTGCTGCTGGGACACAGGCACATCACCTGATACCTGGTGTCTGATCAACACCGGCTGGGTCGCTTGGGCGAGTCTGATGTTGAAAGACCAGAAACACCCAATGACCCCAGGATACATCACTGATGATGTGTCCCAGCGCATCTGCATGATGTATCTTTCACCATTTTATAAATTTTTTCGGGATTGTCACTTTTTAGCAATTTAATGCATCCATTATGAATAACATCATGTGCTTTAGAAATACCACTGAATACTGTAGGGTCAACAAATATTTGCTTTTATAGGACCTCCCATAACCAATGATGATGTGGGTGTTTGTTTCTTTAACGTGTCATTGCGAGTAACCAGGGTTGAAAATTAACACATTGGAATCATCAAAATCAATTAAATCAGCTTTGGCGGGTAAACAAAATGTTGCTACTCCTTTATTTATACCATACACTACAGAAAACCTTGCGGCTCCAGAACATTTTTCCTCCAGATTTGGAATGTTCCTTGCAGAGCAAGTCACCAAAAAAAAAATAAAAAGAGGAATGAATTCCCAAAATGTCTTCACATTTTTGTCACAGATGCAATTTCTCATATCATGTAATGATGCTGTGAGTAACTTGCTGGCCTGTGCTGTTTATATAAACACACACACACACACACACACACACGCACGCACTACATATATATTATTATTATATATATACTCTATATAAATAAATAAAGCTATTTACAGTTTCATGGAGGAAAGAAATGTTAATAGCCAGTAAATCTGGTCATCTCTCAGGTTTGAACAGGTTAGATAACAGTGAACTCCTTTTATAATACATATCTCACTCTATGACCTCATTTAGAAATTAGAAAGTCTGATCTTAAACTATGAAAGCCTCATGATTCTCATTTCATGGACGGAAACTTTGCACATTGATTAAAGACTCACCTATGACACAGAACGGCTTCCTTGCGAAGCGAAGTCGCCCCTGCCATCCTCTGTAACGGCAACAACAGCCAGCAGACCAGATTCGAATGATGTACTCAAGCCCAAACACCACAATCATAACAAACTCCTACAAAGACAAAGAAAGACATTTTCAAGTTTGTTTGTGTGGGTGTGTCCTTGTATCATCTGTGGTTCTAAAAATGACAACTCTGTTAACCAACTACATTACAGCTACATTACATGTATGAAAGCCTCATGATTCTCATTTCATGGACGGAAACTTTGCACATTGATTAAAGACTCACCTATGACACAGAACGGCTTCCTTGCGAAGCGAAGTCGCCCCTGCCATCCTCTGTAACGGCAACAACAGCCAGCAGACCAGATTCGAATGATGTACTCGAGCCCAAACACCACAATCATAACAAACTCCTACAAAGACAAAGAAAGACATTTTCAAGTTTGTTTGTGTGGGTGTGTCCTTGTATCATCTGTGGTTCTAAAAATGACAACTCTGTTAACCAACTACATTACAGCTACATTACATTACTACATTACTGCTGGAATTACACAGTGAGAGAAGTACTGTACATTGTGCACAACATAACTTTTTAATAAATAAACACAGATGGAGGTGTGCTTGCCTGACAAATACAATCTGTGGCTCAGCTATTTCTTGACTAAAGTGGAAAATAACCTGATTATGGATCAATTAGTGAGCTCTGTTTTATTCATATAGTTAGTGCTACTTCCAGTCGTTAGTTTGTCAAACTACAAGCTACTTATAATTTAACTCAACTACAGTACAGTTCAAATGTTTTCAAAAATGATTCACTCAGATCAGAAGTTATCTGGCAAAACATTTTTTTTATCTAAATAAACAATGGTGGAAAAAACAGAGATAAGTGCCCTATTTTTACAGATTTTTTCTTAGAATGCATCTGAATGAATTAATTGACTAAAATTAATCAGACTTCTATATTCTTCAAACAGTTGAGAGACAATGTACAATTTAGGTGATTGTGTTTGATTAATAATTCATATTGCCCACTATAAAACATTTTGCCTGCTATAAAGCATATACAAACACATACATGTATATAAAAGTGTGCAAACATAATAATGCACACATACAGCAGCAGATGTGGACTGGTAACCTTATATGGAGTTCCTGACTCAATTCAAAGAGGTCAAAGCCATTTTAAAAGACCTCTATTTTGTTGAATTACATCCTGTCTTTGCAATGTCAATTAAAGGGGCAGCAGTATGACTGAATAAAATAACTTCCATTACGATCATACAAGTAGCTTCAGAGCACTGCCTACAGATGTTGAACATCATACAGATCATGTTTGGAGTCAGCTGAGTCAATAAAACAAATCAGGTCAATTTGTATGGCCATCATTACCAGTACACAAACCAGCAGGCTTCCAGGACCAGAAAACCAGCATAATATGAGCCTTTGATCCAGTGTTCATGTCTCTCACCTGTTGCTGGCTTATGTAAGGGCTTTGTAATCAAATAATCATACTACATTATGCTGGATCAAGCAAACCATAAGGCATAAAAGTGGGGAATATTTGGTTGCATTTATTTTGTGATTTACTGATTTGGTTGACTTGACCTGTGTTGTACAGTACTATTAACTTTTCACCATATTTGCCTTTAATTATGTGTCGAGACACATCATCAGACAGATAGCAGCTGAATTTGGTGGATGGCAGAGGAAATTTACTGCAAAGGGAGCTGTTGCGATCTGAGTTGCTGGCTAGGACACAAATGAATCTCAGTAAGTGTTGCAGATTGAATTTAAAATGGGCACTATTCCACTGAACTGCACTGAGAGAAGTAGAGAATATTGCCTATATCTCCTATGCCAGGCAGTATCTGACTTTTTCTTCTTAAATACTATATAACAGTGGTAATCAGAAGCATATAAGCATAGACTATACAACATCAATAAACGTATGATGTAGCATTATATAAGGCCCAAGACATACAATTAGCCGCAGTATTAGAGTACAGTTAACACAAAGTTCATGTGATGTTTTTCTTTAAACTTCTTAGCATGAGACTGTTGTCATTCTTTATCCTGTTTGGATTTTGTTTGACACTGTAGTTCAGCTCTCACCAAGATCAGGAGACTTCGAGAGGCCATTTCCTGGTGATCTGGAATGGTAGAGAAGACAGACAGCACCAAGCAGCCAAACACTAGGACAAACCTGTCAAAAGACATGAGGAAGAACAAAAAATACTTTATTGAAAGACTTTGTCATATATGAAAAAAAACTTGTATTTAAGGTTCAACATTAAATTCAACTGATATTGATAGAATAAGGTAATAAAAAAACTTTCCTTCAAATATTTCAAACTCTAAGTACCATAACATTAATTTTCCATCAACAATATGAAATATGGCATGAGGGTAACCACTGCAACTGTGTCTGGAGATTTGCATTATTGACCCCTTCAAATAAGGGGTGGGAGACATCTGTATTTGATCATTGGTCTTCTGCGTCAGCCGCCTGATCTCTCTGTCTCCGTTCCATTAGCTTTATCCCTTTTGCTCCATCTAGTCTGGTTCCCACTGTCTCTTTTTCTCAACTACTTTGTCCATTGTCAGACTTTGGTAAAGCCCATCTTCTAAAGCCAAGTAAGATTACATTGCTGACCTCTACATAGACATAGAGTTTCAAAGCCTAAAGGCCCATGAAACACATTGCTATGACCTAATGCAAGTGGACATAACTGAATAGATCAGAGAAAATACAACCTTTACTGGCCCTTTAACTTGATAATGAACATTCTTGTTCAAAGAGCTTTGCACCCAACAGCACTGATGCAACAATCATTATTCTTACGAATAAGTACTGCCCTTTTCCCCTGTTTTCTATAAAAACAGCTCTACTTTGCAAAATTATCATTAGAGCTAATTAAGCACCATCTTCATCATAAATGTTTACAGCATTTGTAAGACTGAAAATAGGAGCTGTGCATTGCTCTTGAGAATCCTTTCGAGTGGCGCCATGTGGTCAAGCTGGACTCTATCTAAACTGACCCGAGTAAACTAGTAGAGGCTGTAATTTAATACCATATGAGAAGGGGCTTATAGAACAGAGGTTAAAGGCTTCATCCAGCATTGGTGCACCGTTTGTGTGAAAGCAGTGGGCGTGATGGGGCGCCTCATCCTTTGACCTGCCCTCCACTCGGAAACAGCGGCTGAGCTCCTCTACAGAGAACACAGGGCAGAGAGCAGGGGCAGTGTTTTCCATAGGCTGTCGTATGGCAATGTCATTGCTGCATATCTGCATTTGCTCATAATTCCAGTTCTTTCCAAACAATTTGATTACAAAATATTGCATGTGCAGTGATTTGGCCGTAGGCACGAGGCTGGAGGTAATCACAGACATGCTGATATTCAGAGAGACATCACGTTTACAAGTATGATATTGCTTTTATACCAGTGTTGCTATTGTTAATTAATAACACTATATCGGATGATAAAATGTAAGTAATTTGCCTTATTGTTAAATTAACAGCTTAAATTTTAGAAACAATGGCAGGTGCTTTGTCTGTTTTTACCCCGGCAATGGAAATAGTTTTAGACAAGTGTCACAGCAGAGCCATTGCACGTACATACAGTAAGGTGGTGTTTTCTTTCTTGCAGTTACTTGTTTAGTTCCTGAATGAATTAAGCGGTTGATTGAATTATTTAATGACTCACTCATAAAGACAGTCACTTGTATTATTCCTAAACAAAAATAGTTTTTTGAATATATCAGCTTTGATTCAGTGACTCATTTGCCACCAACTACTGAAGGAATCACTGAACATTCCCAAATGCCAATACGCAGATTGACAGTTTGTCTGGAACTCACCAACACAGAAGCAGAGTGCTACAAACATTAAAAAGTCCCAGTGCTGTTTAACTAACTATAGTATAGTATAGCAACTAACTTTTGTATAATTCCCAATAAAACCTTGAGAGAAACTAACTAAATAAATAAAATAAAAATTACACGGTGACATTTTCAACAACCACCTATACTGGATGGATGGTTGAAATGAAGTAGCGGAGAAAGTAGACTGCGATAGACAGTACAATTATCTGTCTAGCAGCCAGTGCCTGTCTGTACTTTAGGGCTCTAGTATTTAAAGAGAGCTCTTCTACTCTCCTGCCTCTTGTCAGCTCACTCAGACGGGACTATTTCAGTGAAGCGCTCAGGGCTAAAATGCTATTTTTTTTCCAGAGGAAAAAGGAAAAAGAACAAGTGTATGGAACTGAAGTAGCTCCCCTCATCAATCATCTGTTAGCCCTAGCTAATTACACAACCCTGGCTTGTTCTTTTGTACCTGCATGTCATTTCCTGCTCTGGTGGGTGGCAGTTGGTGTCTGTGGAGTGTCACGGCCTTTGATGTTGAAAGAGAGGATCTTAACATTTACATGCAGACCACAGTAAACACACACTTTCGCTCTCTGAAGTGGCACTTAATAGCCATCATTTTGCATAATCAAATTGATGTGTTTTGAAGGTGAGTGCCAGGGACGAGTGACTAATGAACAAAATCTCCCTCTCTCACACGGATATGTATCACACCATATCATTATTTCTTATTTGATGTTCAAGCCTGAAATTATATTTCTCCAAATCCCTGTCACTATAATTTATATCACTGAACATGTACACATAGTATTATTGTCATGAATTCTGTCCATGGACTTCCGTTCAATCACCACCAGAGGTCACCCTTCCATTACATTGACTCTCGCACTACACAAACTGTTGCATGTCATCCCGGACTACATATCCCATCATCCATTGCACTGATTGCACACAGCTGTAACCAATCACACATTCACTATATAACACTCACTCAAACAACCATTCACTGCCGAGTATTGCATGCGCATATCGCTAGTTTGTGATAGCTACGTTACGGAGCCTACTTGAAGTTTCATAGTCTTAGCCTAGTCTTGCCTAGTTGGTTTCCTCATGTTCTGATCTTTGCCTGTGCATTTTGGATTACCTCTCTCGTCTTGCCCTGTTCGGATACTGTTTGCCCCTGCCTGGACCTTTGCTTTGTACCTGGATTATCTCTCTAGTCTTGCCCTATTGGATTATGTTCATAGTCGATTGACCCTCACTGTTTACCGGACTGCCCATGCCTTGTCTCTTACATACCTATTTGCCAATGTTTGATTTATGCCTGTTTCTGACCACGTCTCCAGAATAAAGCTTTGCACATGGATCCGCATGTCTCACGTCTCGTCAGCCCCGTAACAGAATACTCAGCCACACAAGGATCCAGCGGCTTTTCAAGTGGACACTGGCCAGGTATGGACATTACAAGACTGTTATTAGCCCTCAGACAAGGCACATGATCGCTCGAGGACTATATTCAAGAGTATCTGAACTTTACTTATTTTTCTGATCTGCCGGACTGTGTACTCATAGACTTCTTTTGTGAGGGCATTAATCAGCCGTTCAAATCACGTTTAATCCGTAAAGGTCCCCGCTCATCTCTCAGTCAGTTTATGGACTATGCTTTGTTGACTGTTGGTTCAACGTTCACTGTGGGTGTCGTGGAGGAACGCAACCCCGTATTCACTCGTGTAATGGCGGCCACACTAGAGCACGCTCACAAAATGGTGGACACAATTTGTGAGGGCATTAATCAGCCGTTCAAATCACGTTTAATCCGTAAAGGTCCCCGCTCATCTCTCAGTCAGTTTATGGACTATGCTTTGTTGACTGTTGGTTCAACGTTCACTGTGGGTGTCGTGGAGGAACGCAACCCCGTATTCACTCGTGTAATGGCGGCCACACTAGAGCACGCTCACAAAATGGCGGACACAACAGCGCCCCATTATGTCACAGCTGCCAATCCTGAATCAAGTCAAGTCACTGTTGATCTTCATGAATCTAGTCTAGTCACGGTTGATCTTCTTGAGTCCAGTCAAGTCACAGCTGATTTTCATGAACCAAGTCAAGTCACAGTTAATCTGCATGAGGCAAGTTAAGTCACAGCTGATCTTCCTGAGTCAAGTCTAGTCACAGCTGATCTTCATGAGGCAAGTCAAGTCACAGCTGATCTTCCTGAGTCAAGTCTAGTCACAGCTGATCTTCATGAACCAAGTCAAGTCACAGTTAATCTTCATGAGGCAAGTCAAGTCACAGCTGATCTTCCTGAGTCAAGTCTAGTCACAGCTGATCTTCATGAGGCAAGTCAAGTTACAGTTGATCGTCATGAGTCAAGTCAAGTCATAACTGATCTTCATGAGTCAAGTCAAGTCTCGGCTGATCTGCCAGAGCCTCGTCACATCTCGGCTGTTCATCCAGAGCCCGTCACGTCTCAGCTGTTCGTCCAGAGTCACGTCATGTCTCAGCTATTCATCCAGAGTCACGTCACATCACAGCTGATCATCCAGAGTCATGTCACGTCCTGTCTGTTACACCCAGATTATCAAGGTCAGCCCTTCGGTATCCCAGTCTGGTATCCAGTGTGAGGGATGCACTGCTGGTGTCTGCACACACAGCTGGTATCCCCAAACCCACTCACTCTAGCCCTCCTGTTACTGAACTGATTCCCCTGTCTGAAGCGCTTCGCATGATGGGGATCGCTTTTTGGTGTGTTTGGGCTGCATACACTACCACAGA